TAAATTAATGGACAATCGCTCACATTTTAAAAATTACTAAAAAATAGACGTACGTTTATAATATACAGGTTTAAACAAAAATATGTTTTTTACCATAAGTTTAAGACACTCTGTAGAGTGGCAAAACCGTATATTGTTTATTTATCAAGTCACATCTATTCTTAACAGTTTTGTTTTTGGTTCATCTCGATATATTTATTTTTGTGGAAAATATGAATTTTTTTAAAAAACATTGCAATTTCCAATATTTTTTTGTATGAAGAACTAAGGTTGCTATGGTCCATCCATAGGCTATGGAGAATGACAGTGACAGTTTTGTTGAATCCTCCCATACTTGGACATGTCATACACGGCTTTCAAAAGCTATCAAATTGTTTTTTGCAAATAAATGTTTAAATTTTGAGGTGTCTTCTTACTTTAAAAAATGGATGTCTCCGACTGATGTTGAGAGAGCTATTAATTTAATCCAGGATGGACGGTCACAGTATTACGTGGCAAGTGTTTTAAACGTCATAAGAAGTAAAGTACAAAGGGCAACATCAGTCGGAGACATTTTTAAAAGTAAGAAGACACCTCAAAATTAACACATTAATTTACAAAAAACAATTTGATATCTTTTGAAAGCTGTATATGACATGTCCAAGTATGGGATGATTCAACAAAACTGTCACTGTCATTCTCCATAGGCTATGGATGGACCATAGCAACCTTAGTTCTTCATACAGGAAAAATATTGGAAATTGCAAGGTTTTTTTAAAAGAATCCATATTTTCCACAAAAATAAATATATGAAGGTGAACTAAAAACAAGACTGTTAAGAATAGATGTGACTTGATAAATAAAACTTAATTTAGAACAATATACGGTTTTGCCACTCTACAGAGTGTCTTAAACTTATGGTAAAAAACATATTTTTGTTTAAACCTGTATATTATAAACGTACGTCTATTTTTTAGTAATTTTTAAAATGTGAGCGGTTGTCCATTAATTTATCTACAATATTCTTTAATATTCGATTAAATCCGACATCAAATAAAAAAGTTATTTGCGATTGAAATTCATCGAAAATTTGTGTGGATCGATTATTTTGCACCTGAATGTATATATATATATATATAAATAACCAAACTTTTTTATTTAGATACCTTCCTACTTAGATTTTGTTAGTTCTACAAACTAGGGAATTTTCGGCAGCTCAGCTTGTATCACGTATAAACCTTATTAATTCATGTTCTACATGAATATACAACAAAAATATATTTTTAATAGAAAATTAAAAGAATTGTTAATGAACAGAACCCACTTTTTTTCTCCCCCACCTTTAAAATGCCACTAAGTGATTTTTTAAATACAGATGACCTTCTTACAAAACCTTTAGTTCATAACACCTCAACACCTTAAGTTATATAACAGTCACCTTAAAAACTAATAATCATGGTCGTTACCTCTGAATTGGTAAAATTTCCTTTATAAAAGTGAAGGTGTGGAGTAAATTATAAAACATGTAGTGATAACTATTACCTATTTCTGCGGTGGCCATACTGCTAAGCTTTTTAATTTTAGGTTAGCAAATTCAAACAAAAATTAGCTTTAAAAATTGAGTAAAGCTTAAAAATAATAAACTATCCACATTTTTGGGTCTTGTCAAGCCAGAGATTTAATTGATCTTTATTTTTTTTCTGGATTATAAAAAAATTTAAAATATACATTTTCATAGTTTTTATTAATAAGAAAATTACCAAAACGCATTCCTAGGCCGCCGTGTTTTCTTCAAGTAAAAAACAATTTTACATAGTACAAAAGAAATCGCAAGTGAATTTGGTACTTTGGTAAAAGTTTTAGCAAACAAAAAAAATAACAACAATTTTTGTACTGGTCCTATTTAGGTATAGTTAACCAGTGAAGACCTTACTTTAAGTTTTATAGTGGATACTCGGTTAGTTTTGTAAAGGTTTGTAAAGGTGTTCTCTACTATCAGTAGCGTATTCTAGGTTATTGTAGTTACTATAGTAACTAGAACAGTAATAAACTAGGCCCTTTAAGGTCTATAACGCATTTATAATTGGCATAAACAATTTATCCCGACTATTTTATTACCTTTTTAAACCTAATATAAAACTAAAAATGTTACTTGGGATGTTGATGTTGACTTTAAAAACCATCAAAAAAGTCACTTAGCCTATGTTTTTGTCAATTTAATGTTAGTATTAGTTTTTCTTTATAGATTTACGTAGGTAATCTATGGTTTTATTAGTTCCTGACAGGGACTCCCTTTATTTGCTTTTGTCAAGTCTGACATAAAAGAAATAAGCTCTAAGTAAAAGTAACGAATTTGACATTCTTTAATATTTTTGTTTGTTGTCATGATGATTAGGAATGAATCTACCTGTGGAGGTGGACTTTTTTTAAACGATTTTCTGGGATTCCTGCGCAGATCATACACCGTCAGGGTGGTGCGCGGCTTCTAGGACACCCTGTATATAGATGTCGCTCATTTTTAGCACACACTCGCTCGTGCCTAATTAAAATGTCTGATTAAAATGCCGTTTATTAAACTTAATACATTAATACAGTTTTTAAATATTTAAAATGTTATTTTACAATGTAAATTGGTTACATGTTTACTTTACTGATCAAGTAAACTGGTTTGTCAGGTTAGACACCCGGTATTTTGGCTGAATATTGAGAATATTGGTATTTTAAAAACAATTATAGAAGTAAATACATATTTAAATAACCCCGGAGCATTCGCCATTATTGCAAACAAATATACAAATATTTTTCTTTTAAATCATAAATTTATATTACCTCTATTTTTCGTTGATTTAAGTACCGTATCTGTTGCCTTTAAGTGCTGGCTTAATTTTATTTTACATGTTTGATTTAAACCATAAATTATAGGTTTTACCACTCAAGAACTTTTTATATATATATTTTTGAATTAAGATAAATTATTTAATATAAAAATTGTATTCATTATAAATTATTATTTAACAAATTTAATCCAAATTCAATTGCTTCCATAAAAAGTATATTAACTAACGCAACAAAGCATTACAACTGACACCAAACTAAAATTTTAAATACCTTTATTTTGCTTTTCCAAAAATAAATATTAAGGCAGAAGGTCTCGGTTATAACATTCGATATAGATGAAAGCTAAAAACAACTTTAACTAATATTTAACTCAGACAAATGACATTCTTAAAATAGTTCAATGAATATACAAAATCTGAAATATTTATTTGTTTTACAATAAAAATTGACCTTTCTTTTTTTGTCGATTTTTATTTTTAGTTTAATGTAGCGTTGTTGCTTATTTATTACAAAATAGGATAACCACCAAAAAATGAATGCATAATTTATTTTGACAAAACAATTTTTTAAACTGCATCAATTTTATAAATTGTTCGCCAGATGCAAATTTTAAAATAAACTAAATCAACTCACTTTTTAATAAAAGATTTAAGAGGATATTCTACTTGCAACAAACTTATTTTTTAGTTTAAAATTTGCCAATTCATCTTTAATTGCAAAGATATACAGAGTGTCTCAGATTCTAGTAGCAGAACTTCTCCAGCGGATCAAGAAATTAACTTAAGTTAATTTAACTGCTAGAGCATAATTTTAAAAGGTAGCACATTGTTGTGTAGTAGTCCCCTTAACGTAAACGGTAAACATAGAAAACGTGGGTGTATGGCTACGTAAGCCTACTAGTTTGGCATTTATTTGAGCCCAAATGATTCGGTTGTTTCGGATTTTAGGGCATGCAAATTATTTTGGCTCGTGCTTCCGGATTCTGAAATGCACTTCTTACAACTTGTTATCTTTCGAAGAATGCCGAAGACAAATCTAAATTTAATTTAATTCAACGTGTACGTGTAAATCTAAGTAACTTATTATAGTCATTTGTAAACGATTTTCATGCTTCTAAATAAATAAACTCTAGATAATTAAGTAAAATAATATTATATCGATGACTTTCTGCCAAAGTATCGCAAGCAACATAATTCAAATTTCGGGAATTGAAAACATTTTTTGTTTTAAAGTCTGTTTTAAATTAAATATAGCCTACAGGTTTTATCACAAGTAAATAGCTTATACTTATAGCTATTTACTTGTTATAAAAGCTATAGATTATATATGGTTTAAAACAGACTTTAAAACAAAAAATGTTTTCAATTACCGAAATTTGAGTTATGTTGCTTGCGATACTTTGGCAGAAAGTCATCGATATCGTTTTTTCCTAATTTAATTTTCTTAAAAAAGTGGTTTTTTTTTTTTAAATTTTGTGTTTTTCATTAAATTAAATCACATTTTATCTGAAAAGGGATACAAATGACCTAAAAGAAATTAATTAATATTTTCCAGTGATTCTTAAAATATATATTTTTACAAATTCAAAAAAAAAAAACGTTTGGATTACTGTGCGCCTGTACTCTATTCGAGCTCCAAAAAGATTAAACTTTGGCTAGCCAAAATAGGCGACTAAGATTGTCGGTTGTTTAAAGTGTGACATGCGCTGTAAAGTTTTATATGAGCTTGTCAATGCCATTGACTCAATGGTGCCAAATTAATTCAGTTTAATGTATATATATAATATATGTATGTATATTTTATGTAAATATTAGAAAAAATATATTGATGAATGATAGAAAAAAATAGAAACTGATTACACGTAATTAAATTTTTTAAGATGCCATGTAATTGCGTTATTTTTTTCTTATTAAATTAAATTTGAATTATTTCTAGCATTTCTGGGAGTAAAAGGTATAGGGTATAAGTAAAAAAAGCAATTTTTTAGTAAAACCTTCAAACGTTTTTGCAATAATTCAGTAAAAATACATTTTTTATCTGAATCTTAAAAAAGAAATTTACACATTTTATTATTAAATTTATTTTTTCAATCTATTCTAGACTTTTAGACAGATTTATTCTTAAATTGCCTCTTAAGTTATATCTTATAATATCTGTACTGTAAATTATTTTTATATTTATAGGAAGGCGGAAAACATAAAGCTGTGACAAGAGTTTTTCAACGTCCTGTGAGCGAAAAAGACTTGGAAACTGTTTGGGACGAACAAACGCTACGTTTGCTAGTAAGTTTCTTCGTAAATAAGAATAACAAAATATTAAATTTGCTTATTTTAGCTTGAACAAAGTCAAGATTACGAAGAACGTCGCCTTATAAGGTCCCGACTGCGCCAAATTATGGCAGAACAAGAAGGTATGTACAGATATCTTACAGGCCATTTTTGGTTATTTTTTGTATTTGTGTTGACAATTGAGAAATCAGGTTGTTCCGTAAAATGGCACAATAACGGTACGCCACGAAGTAGGGGAGAAAAAGTACGCAATAAGTTTTTTTCGACAAGTAGTTTTTGAGTTATAAGGTTGAGACAATTTATTTATATAAAAGATCAAATTTTATAAGGGCGTTAAAAAAATAAAAAATTTTGATCTCAGACCATAAAGTTTGAGAAAATTTAAGTAGATCGTTCAATGTTTCACAAATCTATCGCTAGTAACAAATTCTGAAAAAGATTCGAATTCAAATTTGAAAATTAATTGAGTTATATCTCAGTTGTTATAGGATAATATTGATTTGGACTTCGAATGCAAACAAAAAAAATTACAAAATAAAAATTTGTCATTTATCACATACATTTTATTTGAAACAATTGTTTTTGTTTTTTGGGTAACCGGCTTATTACAGGAATTGCAGATAAAGGAATTTTTTTTCTTTCTATTAACTGTTGTAATTGGAAAAATTCTTAAAAAATTTAAAAATTGTGTGTAAATTATATGTTACAGCCAAAAAATGTTATATTAAATGGAAAAAATAATAAAATTTAAAGAATTGAAGCGTAAATTCAGCGTTTTGTTGACTGTTATAAAGAAATTTTGATATTTTGTTGATAGATTTTCAAATTTTTTGTAAAATTTATTATGATAGCGAATAATCATTTAAAAAGATAATACAAGACTCACAATTTTGGAGCCAAAAGTGATACAAAAAATTTTCTTGGCACATATTTGTGAAACATTGAACGATCTACTAAAATTTTCTCAAACTTTATGGTCTGAGATCAAAATTTTACACATTAAATGGAAAAAATCGAAATTTCAAAAAATCTATATTTTTCAACGCAAATAAAAACGAGGGGGTTGATGTTAGAGACTGGACCCTAAAAACTTTTTTTTACAGAATTTAATGCTGAAGAAGGATCAGTGATGGTTTTTCCGAAAAATAATGTTCTACATAGTTTGCAGGAGAAATGAAGGTTAAAAAATCATTTTTCCATGTTAAATCAATGGAAAATCTTAAAATTCGATGATGGAGTTCTTTAAGTTGATATTAAGGGCTCAAATTTTTACAGAATTTTTTTTATAGCACATATAACAAGAATTTCACGTGCAATCGAAAAAAAAATTATCGACTTGTTTTGGAACACCCTATAGATCAACCATTTCAGATCGCAACATGCGTTGAAAACTTAGTTTCCATAACAACCGTTATTAGATGTGTGATATCAGGGGTCTAATATCAAACCCAGCAAAGTCCATTTGAGTAACATTTTTAAAAATTAAAAAATAGGCTATTCCCTTAAAAAAATATATGTATAAGGCATGATATTTTTACTCAATCATTTATGGTGGACTAGTATTTTCAAGAAAATTTTGATAAAAGTAATGGAATTTGCTGATAAAAAATATTGGACTTTGCTATGTTTGACCCAGGGGTTAAAGGGTTAAAGGAAATTTAGCTTAAAACTTAAATAACTCGAGAACTAATAACTCGAAGACTCCTCCACATACACCGTGGCATACCGTGCGCCATTTTCCGGACACTCTGTATACTACATACAAAAATAACAAAAAATGTCCCATTTTGAGTTTAGCTTATGCTCAGAGTTGGTTAAAAAGTCAATTTTTTCTAGCATGTGCCGAGCTGGTAAAACAAGCAAGCCAGGACAATCAAACAGCCACTGGAACAATAGAGGGTGAGTCTGTACTTCTGCCGTTGCTTCAAGGCCTTCTAGACGCGCCCGAGCCGCCCGAACAAACGCACGATTCGGGCACGGAATCGGGCGAAGATCAACGATCGGGTCTTATCGCCGAAGTTCAAGGCGCACTCGAAAAGCTATCAAATAGTTTAAAAAGTGACGCTACTGATGTAACGCCTGAAAGGCGCAGCTCTTTATTGCAACTGGTTGCAAAGCTGCAAGCTGGTTTATCGAGTAATACTCCACAAAAAGATCGTAGGAATTCTTCCTCGCAAAGGTTTTCTAGGAGACGGCAAAGACAAAACCGACACACAGTCGGTGTTAGCAGTGAAGAGTTGGCTGACGCTCGCAGATTAATAGAGGAGATATCACTACCTACTCTTAACACCTCACAATCTACGATAAAATTACAAAAGCAAAACTCTGAGAGCATGCTTTCAGATAGCAACAGTAACTCGTCTTTTAAACCATACAAAAGCGTAGTAAAAAATTCCGTGGCCAAACCTTTTAGCAGCTCAAATTCAGGCAGTTCATCGGCAATACAAACCCCTACAACCGAAACTTCCGAATCCTTGGATCTTCTTTTCTACGAAGAACCTCGTGGTATTTCGGATCAAAAAGCTATACTCCGTAAAATGCATTCTCTCGACGAATCTAAATACAAACGCTTCTCGCAGTCTTTTGATTTACCAGCTAATTCAATCTTAAAGTCCGTGCAAGATGCAACAATTAAAATACTAACAGATCAAAAATCTATTTCAGAAAGCACTCAAGAATCGGAGGATGAAACTAGCACCATTAAAGCCCCTCAAAATACACTAGAAAAACAACCTGATGTATACCTACAGAAGAATCCAATTTACAATCAATCTCACGAGGAAAAATCAAACAGGTTTAACAGCAAAAAACTCAAAATGAAACGAGCCAACACTATCGATATCCCGAAACCTCTTCATTTTTATGAGGACGATGACGATAGTGATTCCCAAATGGAAGATGATAACCAACGTAAAAACGCTTACTATGCCCTACGAGGCCCCATAAATGTACCTTACACCAAAATCAAAACCAAAGTACCGCCACTACAACCTAAAACAGATAGCGATAAAAAATTTCTTGCCTTTATCAACAAACAAAACGATAATAATTCGCAAAAAACCTCCATGTGGTCGCAAAAAACTCCAGTCTGGGGCAACAAATTTGGAAACATTAAAAATAACTTTGAAGCAAAAGAGAATAACCCCGCTATGAATTTCTGGAAAACCGCTGACGATTCAATAAATAGAAGTTTCAATGGAAACCAATTTGGCCCAAAGATTAGCCGTAGAAGTGCTAAAAACCTTCAGCAAATGTTTGAAGAGAAACAAAAACAAAATCAGGAAAAGCCTGCCCCATGGAGTTCAGCCACAAACCAAAATATTATTACAGGATCTTTAAAAGTTAACACTAAATCTTTAGAGCCTGAAAAGAATTACAAATTTATTCCACAACCTTTACCAGTAAATAAGTTTTCACATGCACCACAGTCAGCTTTTAAACCAATACCTAAAAAGGAAGTAACTAAACCTGACTCCCTAGCAATACCAATCATAAAAACAGCGCTTAAAGAACAGAATGGGCATAAAGAAGTGCCGGTATTTTTATACAGCCCCAAACCATTAACTACACCACAATCTGATTCAGCCAGCTCATCTCCTTCGGTTTCAAAACCTTGGGTCAATTCGTCAGGAGAACATAGAGTTTTAAACCTAGCTGCATCCAAGTTTGAAAATCATGCAAATCATGCACCATCATCCCCAATCAAACCAAGGAAGTTAAGCAAAGATTACACTAAAATATTTATGCCAACAACTCAACAACAAACACCTCCACTAACAGCCCCATATATAGTCAAATCAGTGGATCCTAAGGAAGGCAGTGTAAGGAAACTAAGTGGACAATATGATAGTTTAAATATTAATACTAAGCAACCAGATTATAGTACTACCACGACTGTAAAGTATATACATACACCACCACAAAGTCAATATGCACCACAAAATAATATTCCACAAAGTCCAAACAATTATCAAGCGTTTAATTATAGTCCGCAACAATGTTATCAAAATAATTATCAAGCCAATAACTACCAGATGCCACCACAAACCAATTTTTCACAATATCCTCAAAATTACTCCTACCAATACCCTCAGCCCAATTATCAACCAATTCAACAATATCAAGGGCCCCAAAGTTATACAATAGTGCAAAACCAACAATATCAACCACCTCAGCAATATCAACCACCTCAAAAACATCAACCACCCTATGGAAATGATCAGCCAATGCAATATTATCAAAATTTACCTCAGAAAACATCCACACATCAATTTAAACAAGTTCAACAAACAGTGGAACCTATTAAACAAACAGAACCGATCGAGATACAATCTAAAAAACATGAGCAGCCTACTATAAAATCTGACAAACCTGTAACTTTCCCAGAAAAATCAAAGGTCGTTAAAGAAGTTCCTAAATATGAAACCCAAACCTCAAATGAAAGTGTTCATGAATACAATGCAGTAAGCAGCAAATTAATGCGAGGCCCTGTACAACAGGCTGTTACAGTCACACAAAAAGGGCCAATGACAAGAGATGGTCATGACATGGCTGCCGCATTGGGTTTAAAAAATGTTTTGGATAAAGTTAGCAGTAAAAGTGTATCGCCTAACCCGGCTGTGAAGTCACCATCAAATAGTTTTAAATATAACTCTGAGTCTCCAAGTAATAGCTTTAAGTATCCTAGGTCGCCTCTTGGAAGCCAGAGTTTTAAATATAATAGTATTTCACCAAATAATTATAAATCTAGTCCTGTAAATGTAGACAATAAATTTAGGCCTGTAGATGCAAAACCAGTAACCAAACCGTTAGAGAATAAAAATTGTGGTGTTGTAAAACCAATGCAACAACAACAAAAAAAGTTGGAAATAAATGATGATGGTGAATCTGTAGTTACGGGTAAATTTCATATACCTGTTATAAGTGTGGCAAAATCTGACCAAAAACCGCCAGGTTTTGCACAAGTACTGACCAAATCTGAGTCTTGGAATCAAATTTGTATGCAAGCTCAAGCACCAAGTCCTACAAAACCATCGCCAAGAAGTTCGCCCAATGCGACTGTAACTAGATCGAAATCAAGCCATTCTTTAGCTATCCCGAAGATGTATGAAGCAGGTATGTCCAAAGATGAAATTCTCAACAAAAGAAAGACTATGGAGGCGTTTTTAAGTGGAAATAAATCCCTGCAGTCCAATAAAACATCATCGCATGAAAATTTAGCCAATATTCAGCAGAAAAATGATAGCAAGGTAGTCAAGAGGTCGATTAATCGTACGAAGACTTCTGAGAAAACTGCGACGTACAGACATTCTTCTGGTCTGTCGAGAAGCAGAACTCTTCCAGATATCGTCTGTCCAGAGCTTCTAGATGAAAGTAACGTTGATAAGGCATTTGAAGACTTGTTTAAATCTAGCTCATAACCCTAGACTAAGGAAACTAAGGATTAATACAGATTCCATTCCATTAAATGTATGTGGAAGTTTTTTGTACTTAGTGTTAAGCAACCTAATAATTTAGTATTTTGAACGAAGTTTTTTTGGCCCTTTATTATTATAAAAGTATGTTTTAATGTTGTAAAGAGTTAGATAAGAAAAGCCAAGATCGTGATTGGTGTGTACAAAGGTGCGCACACCAATCAAAACAATTAATTGGATATTTTGAGGGGCTGGATACACCAATAATTTTGATAGGGTGAGACTGTGTTACTTGGTGTGCGCACCCCTTTAATAACAAAAGCCCTCATCCAATGCCCAATGCCCACTTGTAAATAATAAACATTAGTAAACAAACACGCCGATATGCTGTCAACACAATTTTTTTATAGATTACTAGCTTTTATATCGTTTTTGTATCAGCGAGTACTTAGTTTATCTACCAAATATGAAAAAAAAATTCTTGTTTCATATTTATTTATTTTATTTTTTAATTTTTATGGCAAAATATTTAAAAAATCTCGCTTATACTATCAACATTTTTTATAGTTAAACATTTTTTAATTTATTATTTTTATTTTTATATTTTCTACAAATAGCACTGCTATAGCGTGTTTGCTTTTTATTATTTCTCTCTAGCAACTAAATGTCCTGCATTATTTGTGTTTTTTTATTTATTTCCTAACATTTTCTTTTTCGTTTTTTAGCATTTTTTATTTTTTTATGTTGTATCGTTGTAAAAATCTATACAAAAAGACGCTCGCAAATAATTGTTTTTCTTTTTTTTTTCAGAAAAAGTTGAGACATCCCAGAAAACTTTTTCAACGGGACCTGTCACAACTACGCAAGGTAAAGATATTTTAGTGATATTTAAAATACTAAATTCCATATTTTAAAAAGCTTATAATTTGTTTTAAATAAATGAAAATTAATACTCCTATATTTTATATTTGCAGTAACAACAAAGGTGACATCTCAACAAATGTCAAAGAAACCAATTTCGCCATTTGCCAAATTTAGGCAACTTGATAAGCAAAACAGCTTACCAAGCTCACCAAGGTATATTCATTTTTATTTTTTTTAATAATAATAATATATTTATTTATAAAAATCACTGCACTAGGGTCTAAAAATATTTGGAACTTATTAAAAATTAATTTTCTTTATATTTACTATATTAATTTTTTACTTAGTACTATATTACGAATATCTAACTTATTTATTACAATTGAAATCATGTCTTAAAAAATTATACGAACACTTTACAAAAACTACTTTTTCTATAGGTAATTAATATTTACCCCAAATTTTGTGGATTGTATTATTTTAGTCGTTATTTTTGGGCATGATTTTAACTTTTCTCCGCTTATTCGCCACTTTCTTTCTAATCTCATATGACTAATGTTGTTTTGCCTGGCTTTCGGTCTGCAGTACCCCTAAGACCCCCACTGGCAGCGGGCCCCTTTTTAAATTTACCGATCCGGCCCTGAGCCAAAGCGCTAGCACCATCAAAGACAGATTGTTGTATTGGTGCAAGCAGAAAACCAAGGAATACGAGGTATGAAAATAAATTCGAGACAGTTTTGTAAAAAAAAATTGCATGTATTTTTTGGTTTCTAATTGTTTTATCTTGTATGCTTTGCTTGCTTGTTAATTAATTTAAACCAATGTAAGTATAAAGCTTATAAGTTATAGTTTGACAACAATTGGTGTTTTATTTAATACAATTACAGAAAATTTGTGGATTTTAAAGGTTTGTTGCAACAAACAAAAACAATGCAGACTGTGTTGGAACAAACCTTTTTTGTCGAGTGGTTAATAATGCGCCGATTGTATTCGCAAATTGCAATCGCAATTGTTAATAATTGATTACAATTATTTATCCCGCTGTGAACAATCTTATTCCTTCCCCTTATATTTTTATTTCCTTCCGCTAATCAGGTAAGATATTTCCATTTCCTCCCGCTACCATGACTACGCTACAGTGTGATTAACTTTGAATGTAAACGTCAGAATTAAATTAAACGTCAGATTTAAATAATTTTGACAAAACGTGGGTTGTTCTATAAATCCAAAATGAAATTGTTGGGGAATGGCGATTAAATATTTCAGGCTCATTCTAATACCGTTTGTAAAGATTATAATAGATTATAATTTTAAGTACTGGTTTTGGACTCATATCCTTAAGAATTAAAAAATGTATTGTCCCTATTTCAACTTATTTCTTCCAATACTGGGTTTTACAAAATAAACAATTTTTGATAGAACATTTTTTTTATTGACAAAGAAAATTTTACACAAAACATCAGATTTTGTTCTAACAGCATACAAAATTCTTTAAAACTAAAAGTTTTTAGTTCTAAAGAATTCCAAAACTTTAGGGTTCTAAGAAGTATCCCTTAAATAAGAACATACCTACGTATTCTTTTTTTTTAATTGCACCGCACAACCACGTGATTATTACTTGCATACAAAACTGAAACAGCAAAAATTATATTGTTCTAACAGATCAAAATTCTCTTCTCTCATTGGTTGGTCTGTTAGGATATTATAATTTTAAACCGTTTTTAAATAAGTGCGATAGAACAATTTAATAATGCTTTTTTTTTAGTTTGTGTATTAAATTAAACAGGCATTTTTATATACATAGAACAGAAATTTTATGTACTATTTTTCTATCAAAAAAGCCGATTTCGCGCCAAAAGTGCTGTTAGAACATTATAATACTCAACCCACGAAAAGTTTTTTTGAGTGTACACAAATTGTGTATTTTTAAGCAAAAGTAAGCATTTATAGAGTTAAGCTTAAATAACTTCAGTTTTTAATTAAATAATATTTTTTTTAATTTTCTAAAAATTAATTAATATATTAATTATAATTAGAACCACTCGACAAAAAAGTATAGTGTTTGCCTCGACTGGAATCGCAATTACTTCCTCAATGAATTCCTTCACTCGCCTGTCGGCTCGCTCGGAAACTTCCATCATCGAGAGTAATTGCTATGATTCCACGCTCGGTAAACAAAATACTATATTATTTTTGTAATTTAAAAACAATACATAATAAGAACTCTAGAATATTAAAAATGTTATTTTTTAGAACATACAACTAGATAACTTCTCAACTAGCTGGGCAGATGGATTGGCCTTCTGCGCATTAATACACCATTTCCTACCCGACGCCTTCGATTACCAAACATTATCTCCGAAAAATCGTAGACACAATTTTACACTTGCCTTCCAAGTTGCAGAGTAAGTATTTACCTATTTACCTACCTAAACCTGGTACTACATAGGTTCATTCAAAGCGGCCACCATAAATTGGCCACAATTTTGCAAAAAAGTAGCATTTTTAAATGTAACTTTTGTTTTTATATAAAAAAAAAGTTACCACCATAAATGCTACTTTTTTGTAAAAATCTTTGCGCGTGTTTTTCTCGCGAGATTTATGGTTTTGTGGCTTGACTCCCTTGACTTTTACTAGGACGATATATGAAAACAAATGTCCAAAACTTAAATTATAAAATTTAAGTTTGGGGGCACTTAAAAAGTCTTCTGATAAAGCCGGTACTGCCAAACTTTAATGTCTAATTTGACAGAAATTTAAATACAACGTTGCCATTTTTTTAAATTTATATAATTATTTTTAGCGAGAAAGCAGATATTGCTCCACTTTTGGATGTTGACGATATGGTGGCGTGTCGAAAACCGGATTGGAAATGCGTTTTTACTTACGTGCAATCGATCTACAGACGATTCAAAGATGAAGATTAAAAACAAACAAAAAGTTACCTTGTACTAAACTTGAGAGACAATTTTACTACTTAAGATATTTATTGGCAATACTTGATATTTGTAAATGTTCCTTATTTATTTGTGTTTTGTCTTTTTTTGTACTGTTTGTATTTTAAGTGATCTATGGCATTTTTAATTATTGAAAACGAGAATTTTTTTATAAGATCTCTATTCTCGTTGTGATATTTTCTGCCCAGCTATTTTTTTAATTAATTTTCTTAGCTTTTCACGCATACATAACTTTTTTAGCTTATTTATTAAATACTTACATTAGTTTTTAAATTGGGTTGTTGCTTTTGCCATGTGGTTGCTAACAAAATGTAAAATATTTCGTATTATATTAAAAAAAAATTATTTAATTTACAAAAACCAAAACGGCTTCATGTGTAAAAGACAATAATCTGAAATATTTATAATATATTTAAGCTATTGTGCCTTATAGTCTTAATACATATATTTTATAAAAATGATATTTACTGAATTTAACAAATAAAAAAATAAAAAAAATACTTGTTAATTTATTTACTAATGACCAATGAGTGTTTGGACTAAGTTACTTATAAGTACCTATAGGTAACTTAGTTCAAACAATACCACTATTATTCGTCTAAACTAAAGGCTATGGTAAACAAAACAAAAAATATACACTCCAGTCATTTATAAAACTATAGCTATTATAAACCCGAACTAGTGCAGTATACATTCATAATTACAAAGGGACAAGTTATTTGCGCATGTCCTAGTAGAAAATTATTTTTCTTACTACCTCGGCCGAAAATACGTTGTTTCGTCCCCGATTCCACGGCAGAAAGTTTACGTTTGATGCATTGGTCAAATTTACGTTTGATGCATTGGAATCGGGGACGAAACAACGTATTTTCGAGTATATTACACTACAAGGGCTACGAAGGCTTCGCTCGTGCCGCAAATGTCGGGGCAGGCATCAATATGTTTCGATATACACATTTAATTTTTTCCCGTATTTTCGGCCGGGTAGCAAGAAAAATAGTATACACTACACGGGCAGAAAGTGTGAGAGCCCTGAACTGCGCGCCATGATGCCCTCGGCTTCGCCTCGGGCATCATGGCGCGCAGTGCAGGAATCTCACACTTTCTGCCCTTGTAGTGTAATATACTATAGGATTTTTATGTATATGTTAGAGTCTAACAGGTAGGTATACATTATTTCCAAAAGTTGGGCAAAATATAAAAAGGGAAATTTTTATTCCTGACTTATCGGCTCAGTACTAATACCTGCCAAAGATTGATATTATTATTATTTTAAGTTTTTGTGAGGTTTGAATAATAATTATCCATGATTGTTATGTTATCATAACTTAAAATTTATTGCTTGAAATACCTATGCCTACATAATAAAGTTTATTTTTGAAATTATTTCATAGTTGCTCATTCATTGTGTTCAGGCCCGTTCCTGGGGTGTCTGGCGCCTGCGTGCAGCATTCGTTGGTGCGCCCCTTTTAGGTATATTTAAATATAATACATTAAATATTTGAATTTTAAGCCGTAAAATTTAAAAAATATATATTTTGAGATAAACTGGCAATATGTAATTGAAAATGTAAAAAATGTATAAAAAATATTTATTAAATTACCAAACAAACAAGTAATATCATAAGGGCATCTATTTTTTCGAAAAAAATCGAAAAAACACGTTGCTAAGTAATATTTTAACAAGTAGCATGAGTGCCGGTGGCAACAAAAATCCGAGTCGAAGAGGAGGATTTTTGCACCTGCACGAATGCATTTTGTTAAAAAATATTACTTAGCATTGTGTTTTAAAGATTTTTTTCACAGGAAAAGTTAGATGCCCGAATGGTATTTGACAAGACTATTTCATGAGTAACAGTTAACAATTAAAATATAAATTGCAATTTTTGGTGACAACAGCTGTCAAGTTTTGCCGCGGGTAAACTCGAAAAAACTGCTGACAGGTGCTGTCATACAGTTTTTCCACCTAGAAACCATTTGTAGTTCAAAATGCGCGTTTGTGATTGGTGGAAATTAAGACGAGGGAAATAGTCAGTGATAAAAATACTCTAAAGAAAACAAAAAAAAACAATCTAAACAATATAATAACTACAACTGGTTTTTAGTGACGTACTCTATAAAAATGACTAGTTTTCAAAGTAAAAAAGCAGCCACTAATAACTTTAGTCCACAGCAATTTGTATCCCGGGCATTAAACAGCTTATTATTATGTAAAATTGTCCCCTAAATCCGAAAATACCGTCAAAAATTATAAAAGTAAATCAGTTTTTAAGATATAGTCAGTCAATACCATATTATATAAAAAATTTACTAAAACTCAAAAACGTTCTACTTTTATAACTTTTGACAACATTTTCGGATTCAGCGGACAATTTTACATAGGAGTTGACTGCTAAATATCCGGGATACAAATTGCTATTGACAATAATTATTAGTCGCTGCTTTTTCGCTATTGCAATTGGACTAATTGAATTAGTCATTTTTCACTAATTCTATTTTAGAGAGTTACTACTGCGCTACCGTCAACTGCAAACAAATACTAAAGATAATATGACCATTTCTCTCCTTTTATTTTGATCCTCATATCAAAACAAAATAAGCAGCCAATATCAAAGCGGCAAAAGGCGCTTTATAGCGACCAAAAATTAGATCGGCCGACGCAAAAAAGGCAGAAACCTTTATCCAATGTATGTTTAAGTATCATATGCAAGAAAGTTTATCGTTACAAAGTACTGATTGACTCTTTGATTTTGCGCCCCCGAAATGTTGCGCCTGCGTGCGTGCACGCACTGCACGCTCGCCAGGAACGGGCCTGATTGTGTTCATCTAAAGTGAAATTTAGACTACGGTATTGTGTTCTGTTACATGACTTCTGTGACTACGGTCAAAGATAATATTATCTTTGATTACGGTCCTGTTCGGGTGGATTTGGTGCTTTTCTAGTGTAATTTTCATTGCTATATAGTGCAAGAAACTTCTAGTCGGTGACCCAACATCGATCCCGACTTCTCACGAGCTGGCACGAACCGCCTTATAACGTGACGTCATAATAATAATCCGGTTTTGTTCACCGAACATACAAAATTTGTTGTCAAGCTAGATAGCTTAGATGGTAGGGCGTTTGCTTTGCATGCGAGAGGTCCCGGGTTCGATACTCAGAAGTTGTCGAATTTTTTTTACTTTTTTATTTCATAAATTTGTTGTTCCTTTGTTAAAAAGTGTTTTATTTTTATCGTAACATAAATTTGCCCATTTTAGTTGGGTTTTTTGCTCAATGGGGCGGGGGGGGGGCCAATGGGGCGGGGTCGGTTGGGTTGTGTTGTTGAGTTTGGGTTGGTTTGGTTTTATTACGTAACTAACGTGCCCTTAACATGTATACAGGTACAAATTCTTTGTCCAGTCGGGATCGATGTTGGGGCACCGGCTAGAAGTTAGTTATAGTGCATGGCTATTTCAAGCAGTTGACAACACTGTTTCTAACCTTAAATTCATTAATGTCAACAACAATAAAATGGGATCGGAACATTCGACGATTTCAGGCAGCCCTCAACGCCAAGGAAGTCTTAATGTCGAACCCCAGTCTAAACCAATGACCGGGGCTATAAAAAGACAAAACACAATTGCTAACCCCGGTGTTTCAGTGACCGCTGAAGATATTTACGGGGAGAATGGAAGATCTGGTTCCATTTCTCCTGGACCATCTGTTTGTAGCGATGTGGATTTGCCCTATATTAGTTATACTGTAAATAGGCCTATAGGAGGTAATTTAAAGTTTATATACTTTTACATAGGTATGTTTCAGAACTATAACTCTTTTAAGAAGAATGTTAATCTAATTCAATCACCAAATTAGGTAGTAAATAAAATTTTAACATATTTTTAACAATAAAATGTTAAAATAAATTGCAAACCAAAACTTTATTATTTAAGGTAGATATTTATTTTGCTCGTTTCAGCTTTACACATTGCTTGTTTTGTGTTTTTAATGAAGAAATTGGCCTCAAGTAGTTTTGATAAAATTTTTATAACTAAATATGATTATCCTTGAAACCACTTAATTAAGGTATAAAATCTAATATTTAAACCAATGATTTAACATTTCTACATCTGTAGGTACTTTACAACAATTACATTTTAAAACTGTAAATGTTGTCAATATGTATGAAAAAATCTGTTGAAATATATAAATAATAATAATAATAATAATAATAATAGGTATTTATTGCCCAACAGTACATACCATAAATGGACATTCATATAATAGTGTTTACTTACAAATACTAGCTTATAAATAAATAATACAAATAAGTTAAAAACAATATATAAATAATTAAAAATATAAATAGTTAACAATTTTTACAATTAACAATATAAAACACTAGGATAAACAATTTTTTATAAAGCTTAAGGAAGAAAAATTTATATCACAGGAAGTAGAAATAAAATTGAATATATTGCACATAACATATAAAGGAGATTTTTTAAGTGTGTTTGTACGAGCAAAGGGACATCTAAACGTTATACATTGTCGGCTATTACAACGATGAATATTAAAGCACAATTGACCCAACAAATCCATGCAATAGATCTGATCATGAAGAAGTTTATACAAAAAAGTTATTGAAATAATTTTTCTTCTCAATTCCAAAGACAATACATTAAAAGTCTCTAACAGAACTAAATGATCATAACCCTGTGGTGGATAAAAATTGAATATTCTAAAGTTAAGAATTTTTAGGAATTTACGCTGAACATTTTCAAGGTTTGTTATGTGATAGGCATATATTGGAGACCAAACCACGCTGGCATACTCAAGTTTGCTGCGCACTAACGAATAATATAGTAATTTAACGGACTGAGAAGAAAAACCTTTGGTATTTCTAAAAATAAATCCAAGGGTCATTGTTGCAGATTTTATATTTGTGTTAATGTGACTTACAAAGCTTAACTGTTGATCAAAAATAACACCCAAGTCTTTCATTACAGAAACTGTATCCAAGGGAATATCATTAATGCTATATTCAAAAATAATTGGATTTAGTTTTCTGGTATAGCGCATAATCTTACATTTAGATATATTCAACTTTAAACGATTACTAAGACACCACTGGTTTAAAGTATTTAAATCATTTTGAAGTTCAAAGCAGTCATTTAAGTTTTGTATACCTTTAAAAAATTTTAAATCATCCGCATATAAAAGCTTGGAGCAACTTAAATTTAATGGCAAGTCATTAATAAAAATAACAAAAAGAATGGGTCCTAAATTAGATCCTTGCGGCACCCCTGAACAAGAGGCAAACCACTCGGAACAGTAACCATTAACAATGACATATTGTTGCCTATTAGTAAGGTATGATTCAAAAACTTTAATAAGCATATCATCAAAACCCATCCGCCTTAATTTATTTAATAAAATAAAATGGTCTATTTGATCAAAAGCCTTTTGAAAATCGGTATAGATAACATCCAAAAATTCAAATAAGGCAGCTGAAGTAATTGATTGATGTACTACCTATGCTTCATACATCAATTGAAGTCCCACCCATAGAAGTCCCACCACTTGACTTGATACAAATGATTAAGGTTATATTACTGTTGTGTCAAGCTAATTCTGTCCCATTTTTTGAAAATAATGCACGATACGTATTTATCTACTCTATTGCATAATTTTTCGTGAATATTGATAAACACAAATTCTCTGCCTAACAACATGAATAATAAACTCATTACTTACGTTGTTCGCCGATTTCAATATTCACTAAATCATAGTGGTTGGGTTTTAAATTGGAAGACGACTATAATAACATTTAAAAATGGTAAAAAGTGAGGTTAACCATTTGACAGATGTGTGAAAATCATTTATTTATTGGAGTAGATAAAGTCATAGATAAAGTATAGTATTACACTCGAGTATAGTATTACACTCGAGTATAGTATTACACTCGAGATTATGCGCATTATCTCATTTTTAAGAGGTTATAAAAAATTAATATTAATATATAATTAATTATTTCTATCAAAGTCCCGTGGTGGGAATTTGATGTGTGGAGCAAAGTTCATTCTGACAGTTTGTGTCAAAATTCAATCATAAAGGGCCATTAACAAATCAGTGTTTTAAAGGTGCAAAATATATACTTACCTACCTACATTAGGGTGTGTCATTTTTGAGCAACTTTTTTTTTCAACTAAAAAACAGGCTAAAAACTTTCAGGAAGGTGAAAAAAGAAGCCTCTAAAAATTTGAGCTCTTTATAATAACATTAAGTGGTGCCTGTTCCTAACTTTCCATTTTCCATTTAAATAACATGGAAAAAAATTCTTTTTTCTTATTTTTGAATCTTGACATTAAGCATTGTAAAAACGAACTGAAAAATTATTTTAGTAGGAAATTGAACGCTCTACAAAAAAGTACTAAATTATTTTTTCATAGAGTAAGCCATTCTGAAGTTATTCAAACTTGCAAATGTATGAAATTATGACTTTTATTTTATTAAAGTAATACTTTTTTTATGTCTTAAAAATTATTTTAAGAAAAAATAATTATTTTCGTATAGAAAGAAAATAACACTTAAATCTCAATTTTTTTTCCATTTTATTTTATTTACTATCAAAATAAGTTATTTGTGTTCAATAATTATAATTATAATATAACAATGAATTTGATATTTTATTGAATTTTTAATCTTACTTTATTTTTTATAATTTTAAAGTCGATAACTCTGATAAAAGATTATATCGGTTCAGTCGGTATATTACCTTTCGGATTACACGGTGACTAGAGGCACGCTAACGTGCCGCGATTCGAAATGATAAAGGCAACTTTAAGTTTGAATACCTTCAGAACGGCTCACTCTATGAAAAAATATATTGAAACTTTTTTGTAGAGCGTTCAATTTCCTACCAAAATAATTTTTCAGTTCGTTTTTACAATGCTCAAATGTCAAGCTACAAAAATAAGAAAAAATAAAACAAATTTTTCCATTTTATTTAAAGGGAAAATGGAAAGTTAGGAACAGGCACCACTTAAGTGTTAATGTTAATGTTAATATTAAGAACTAAAATTTTTAGAGGTTTCTTTTTTCACCTTCCTGAAAGTTTTTAGCCTGTTTTGCTCAAAACCGTAACACAAAAAAGATATTCGACTTTTAAATATATCAAACTGTTTTTATTGATATTAATTTGATATGTCACAATAAAGTATTAATATATAAATTATATATTTAAAGAAAAATTAAATAAAAATCTTTTTTTTTAATTTCAAAGTATCAAGTAGATAGGTACGTGTGGAACATTTCCCCACATGCGTCATATTTAACATGATTATTGGTTGGTCGAAAAATATTTACTAGTACCCTAGGTAATCAAACCACTTCTTTAAAAAACCTCTAAATAACTGAATCAAACACAAAAATCGAAACATTTTTCTGATGAAGCGGGACTCGGGACAAAATTTAAAAATTCGGGACTGTCCCGCCAAAATCGGGACCTTATAAGCTAATTAGCTTAAGCTTATGTAGCAAAAGTTGTTTAGGTACTTTATTTAGTTTATAAAACATAAATCATGTATTTTATTAAAGAAGTTAATGGATAAAGGTGTTATCTAACATTTGCATCTATTCAAGTCCAAAAAAAGGGACGGTACCAGAAAAAACACGCTCAAAATAACAATAACACGAAAAACAACAAAACCCCAACAACAACAAAATAAAGTAGGAATTACAGACAAAAATAATTTAAAAGATTTAAAAAGTAATGATGCTTCTCTTAGGATTTAACTCGGGATTCTCGGTTGTCAAACGGATGCTTTTCCTCGACTTCCGCCACCTTTTGTAAATATGTCTATAAATATTGTTACTGATGTTTTAAAAACTTAATTACACTGCCCTTTGTTATTATTAATTAATTTTAATGCTTATTTTTTTAATGACATTAGACCAGTGTTTTTATTTTTTTATAAAAAAAGTCTAAAATGAAAATAAAATAAAAAATATATTCAAATGTTTTAATTTAAATTCAAAATAATTTTAATAATACTTATTTTCAGATTCTCCCAAAATGACGAATAGCAAACCAATACCAAAAGCAAAAAACACAAACAGGATACAAATCCAACAAAAATCTAAAATAAAATCGGCACACAATATAGTAGTAGTAAGAGGTGCAAAAAACGACAAGGACACTGAAAAAGATCCAGATGTAGTTTGTTTACAAGGCATTCCAATGTTTTTACCAATTATGAGAGCAACATTGAGCCTACCAGCCGCTAGAGATCCAGAAGTATTAGAGAGACTTGACCCCACACCTTTTAGAAATCTTTGTTTGAGGTACCAACATCATTTAACTGCTGCAGCTAATTTAGTGGCCACTGAACAAAATCAATTAACGCAGAAAGTAAGGGAAATTGATTCAGATATTACAAAAATCGTTAATACTACAGTTGAACGGCAGAAAAAGTACGCTAAATATGCAGAAAAATTAGGAAGAGTTCAAGAATTAAGCCACCAATTAAATAAATGTCATATGTTGTTAAACCAAACGTTAGAATCAATGGAAACTTTAAATAATTATTTAGATATTAATGATAGGCTTGAACCATTTGTCTGGACTACAGGCTAAATAATATAGTATTAGTAGAAACTTAAACAAGATTTGTTAATGAACAGTTAGTGAAGTTACCGGAGCACCCATTCTCGATCGAATAGCGATAAGATGGATAATTTCCCGTTAATAAGTCGCTAATTAGTTGTGCTAAAATCAATTTTGTCGTTTAATTTTTGTTTAGTTTTTAGGTGCTTTTATAACTTTATAAGAAATTGGCGAAGCACCCCTCTAATAGGTACTTTAGATAGCATATAGCATATATTGATGACTTTTTGCCAAAGTATCGCAAGCAACATAACCCAAATTTCGGGAATTAAAACATTTTGCTTGTCTGTTTTAAATTAAATATAGCCTAAAGGTTTTATAATAAGTAATTACTTAGCTTATAATTATAGCTATTTACTTGTTATAAAACCTATAGGTTATATATAAACCTATAGATTATATATGGTTTAAAACAGACTTTAAAACAAAAAATGTTTTTAATTTCCGAAATTTCAGTTATGTTGCTTGCGATACTTTGGCAGAAAGTCATCGATATATTTGTACCACAGCTCATTAGTTGTGCTTAAATCAATTTTGTCTTTTACTTCTTTTCTCATATGACGCTAGGAAACATTTCTTCAGAGAACGTTTCAAAATTATCAGTAAAGCTAACAATACATCGTTAATTAGACGCACATCTCCAACTGATATTTGTAACCTATATATATATATATAGTTATAAAGTTATAAAGCCTTAATTAATTAGTATTTTCATCATTCACTGGGACATTAAGGCTGATCCAAGGACATTCTTAGATGACATCCCTGTGATATCCCAAACCTATGGACGTCCTCTGGACTTCCTTATAGGATCATCCCAGTCTGGGACAAAAGGCTGGTCCAAGGACGTCCTAAGGGTGACAGTAGTGAACGCTTGGGTTATTTATAACCAGCTCTCTAACAAGAAGATGAATATGATCAATTTTCAAAACAAGAAAGTATTGTAGAGGGTGTTACAGTCAGAGCTGCAAGCTCTCAGAAAACTTAAATCGTTTTTTTGATTTAAATCGTTTTAATGACTTAAGTCATTTGGTAATAAGTCATTTCTCTAAAACTGACTTAAGACTTAAAATTTAAGTAATTTTCAAAATGATTTGTGACTTAAATATTTTTTTCAAAATAGAAAAAACTTAAGTCATTTATAAATCAGTACATACGATTTAAGTCAGATAGAAACGATTTAAGTCAAAAAAAGATTTAAGTCTTTTTGAAAAAGATTTAAGTCTTTTTAGAAAATATTTAAGTCAGATTTTTCATATATTTTTTTATAAATTTTTAACAGCGGCATTTTCTTTTGAACTGCCAGGGGTTCACGCGGCAGCAGATCAAAATAGTACATTCTGTAACAAGTTTGGAATACAGCATATTCCGCTCGAGGAAAAATTTGACACACGAGCCGAAGGCGAGTGTGACGGTTTTACGAGAGTGGAATATGCTATTCCAAACGTGTTTCAGACATTATTTTCTCTACGACTACGTAAGAGTAGTAACGCTTATATAATTTTAAACAGAGAAAAGAAACCAAGCAGTTTTTGACATTTAAGTTTTTTGTATTGTCAAACCATTTTGTGCCGTCACATTTTTATAATGTAAATTATAATAAATTTAAACAAATGGTATGCCTAAATCTTTATTATAATTAAAAATAGTTATTTACACTAACTAATAAAAAAATAACATTGTAACAAATACAAAACTAATTTTACAAGTAATCTATGTCAACATCTATTCTTTTTCTACATTTTAAAGGTCTTTTTTTAACTTTTTGAACCTGTCAAAACTTCAAAGCTGGTATAGTAGGTAACTGGTTTATCATTTCAATATCAAATTTATTATAATTTTGATTTTTATATTTGAATAACAATAAATATAACTAATTTTTTGTGCCTAAACCTTAATTATACAACTGCTATTATTTTTTAATTAATAAATAATACAGTAATATTTAAATATTTTTAAATTTTTTACGTTTAGTAAACAGCCAGGAGATGTCGTTACTTGTGACCATTTTTAAACAAGAGTAGGAATATTCTCGCACAGTATTGCAGAAAAACATCCTTTCTATGATCAAAAATTACACTAGAATGTTACTATTCTTAAGTAGTCGTAGAGAAACTCCTTTAATTTCCTACCTACAATTTCTACCGCTAGTGGATAAAAAAACCGCCGCGGTTAAGTTAGCTTTTTGGAACCGTTTGACGGCTACATTAAAAAATGTCCTGTCTAAAATGAATTAAAAAAAGTGGGGATTTATAATTTTGTTATTGTGTTTGCCAACATTCGTCAGGTTCGTGCGTAGTTATGTCTAATTTGTGATTATTAGTGCAAAGTGAAAACAATCTGAGCGGTCGTGAATCGAGAGTTTGGAACTTCCCATCATTACTCCCTTAAGGGAGGAATATTTTTTTTCTAGATGGATGTTGAACCAGCTAACAAAAGTTAACAAAACAACAAGTTATCAGTTTTTGAAATACAGCGATTTTAACCTTTAAATAGTCGCGTGGGGCCATGTGGCCCCAGCCGCACTTTAAAGTCCTATAGCTTCTTGGCTGATTTTTTTTTTTAATTCTGTCCCATAATTATTCCTCAAATGAAGGTTTGAGAGCTTCATACACCCACCAAAAATTTATTCCCTGCAACTGTTTTTTTTCTACAGCTGATACATTAAGCCGGTGCACGGCTTGGGGCCATATGTCCCCACGCGAGAACTCACGTTGGTGAAATCTTGCGACAATTAAATAAAAGACGACGAGTGGATATTGCTAATATTAAATTATTTTTTATAATATTAAACTATATTATTAAAAAAAATGACATTTAAAGGTCTGTAAAATCATTCTTAAACCGCATTATTTCAAATTTAATGAAAATTACCTTAAGGTAATTGTAGTTTCGGATTTTTAGGTATAAAAAAAGTATGTATAATCTTTTGGTTTATCATAATACTTGAAGGTAAATAAAATAACAATTTGAAATAACGCAAAGGTATTTTTTTGCAAAATTAATCATTTATTATTTTATCAGGTAAAATGTATGTATGCCAAGATCACCAGAGAAATATTTGCGCCGAGTGCTACGAAAACTAAATTTTTTTATGTATTTGACAATAAAATTATGTTAAAATGATAACACGATGCCTAATTAATTTTTTAGAAGAAAAAAACTGGAAAAATAGCCATATTTACCCATTGGGGCCATATGGCCCCACGCGAGAAGTAACGTCACACCGACCACGCGACTACTTAAGGGTTAAGAAAAATGCTTCAACTTTTATCTATTTTAATAGAGTTTGAATCTATTACCGTTTAGAAGTTACCCATTTATGTATATAAAAAAGTAGCCTCCCTGTATGTCTCCTCTACTAAAAAAGGTGGTTTAAGTTTTTATTCTGTTTGTAAGTGTTCTGAAAATAAATCGTTTTAAATTCTTAACATAGTGGTTTATTATCATCTGTATCTACAATAGATTAATAATATCAGTATCATTAATACCATAAAATTATTATTAACATTTAAAAAATCGTTGTATTGTAAATATTTTGATTTAAATCACAATTTTTGATTCAAGTCATTTTATTGACTTAACTCTTAGATCACGATTTAAATAAAAAATATAGACTTAAGTCATAAAAACGACTTACTAAAGGAATTAAGTCATAAGATGACTTAAATCACTTTATATTGATATAAGAATTTGCGAAAATGACTTGACTTGAAAGAAAATGATTTAATTCAAAGACTTAATACTTAAATCATTTGAACTTTATCTTAGAATTGACTTAAGATTTAAATCATTTTGATTTTAGAATTGACTTAAGACTTAAGATTTAAGTCTTTTTAAACCTGACTTGTTGCAGCTCTGGTTACAGTATAGTGTAATTTTTCGTTAATTAATACCTACCTATCTAATTAGCGACTTACTTAACGAAAAATTATGAGCTGAACTATATAGATATACTGTCTACAGTAGGTTCTTTTTAAGAGGCCTCGCCAACTATATAGTTATATATATATAATTAGCGACTAATTAACGGCAAATTGTCCATATTATCGCTATTCGATCGAGTATGGGTGCTTCGCTACTTCATGTTCATGATTTGTTATGGTTTTATCTAGTCATTTTTAGAGGCCTATTCCCTTTCGCTAAACATGCATGTTCATGAACTACATATGTTTCGTAACATATGAGCCTATTCCCTTTCAATTATTTCGTCTATAGACGCATGCGCTCGAAGAATTTCTTAAACATCCATGTTTATAAACATCATCGGTGTTAAAATGGCTATTCCGTTTCCAAAATTCGATGTTTGGTGAACATACATGATGTTTGAAAACGTATGTTTACGAACGCTTGCCTAAGAGGTGCTGTTATAGACAATATTTAAGGTTTTTTATCAATATTTAAGGTTTTTTATCTTGCATTAATCATAAATTGCGGCGATGTTTGGTACAGTATACAGTACAGTATCATTATCAAGCATAGTAATTATAAATTAATTACTTTTTCATAATTAATACCTAATTAATTATAATTATAAATGATAAATAATTAAATAATCATATAAGGTTTTACACCAAACAAATAATAATATATTTTTTGGTAATTTTAAAAATATGTTTGATTTGTTTTTTAATTATTAAAATGTACCTAGGTATTTCCTAATTATAATACCAGAATACAAATTTTGCTTTACTATTTTTTTTTATATAATTTTATTATAATAATAAATATTTATTTAGAGAAAAACAGAAAATTAAAAAAATCTGAGTGTGAAGAGAATTTGGGGGGAGGAATAAAAAATAACTTGGAAAAATATATTTTATTAAAAAAATACAACAAATATAAAATATCAAATACCTATGTAATATTATTACTCAAAAATATAGACAAAATATTAGTCAAAGAAAAGTATAACTAATAAAATACAAAAAAATATGCATCTAAAAACTATTTTTCTTCACATGGGAGCT